TATCAATTTATATAAAGTATATAATAGAACTATACATTCTGATACTACTTTAAAGTAAATAGTGATTATATTAATATACTAAAACCTACAAATTATAGCATTTACTTCAACAGTTTAATATATTCAGCAGTATTTTAGAAAGTGAGCTCATCCATTATAAAAGACTAGAAAATATTTTCAGTCTGAAGTAGTTTATTTATAGAAAATTTATAGAAAATTATTTATAGATTATAAAAACTAAATTTCATTATAAAAAATATTTACTGAATAACAAATATTATAACTTAAAAATCATCTACTCCCTAATGTTAAGTAAATTCACTTATTCATTAAAAAATTAAGACTTTTTTCCAGCTTTATTGAGACATAATTGACATATAATATTGTGTACCTTTAAGGTGTACAACATAATGATTTATGTATATATTGCAAAAACAAGACTATTTTATAGCCTGTAACATAACAAATCAGATGAATAATTCCTGGATACTCCCTCCAGGACAGGGGCTGTATGTCATCCTACACTCCCCCATAACCACCACGTTTCATTTATGTTTTTCTGAAAGCACATTCAGTACAGTATCTAGTAATTGCATTCTTTCTATAATAGTGTAATGATTTCTGGATATAAAAATTCCCTGATTGTGTTAAACAATTAGTAGTTTGATGCAATGTAAATTTATTTTTAGACTTTTCTTCCATTTCTAAACATAGGTCAACAATTATTAATGTTAAGATTATTAATTTGTAGCTCATCACCCAGAATGTTCTACCACTAGGGTATCCTTATTAATAAATTATGTCCCTTTCGATAATCAATTACTCTATTTCTGCTTAAGATTGTTAATGGAACTGTATGTCAGAGTGCCAATACATTTTAGAAAAACCATTAAGAAATATTAAATCTTTCCAACTCCTCCTTTTATGAGTTTTCTTTCAATATCCTATGAACACTGGGGATGCTAATGAAACGAAGCATACCACAAACACTATGCACTGGGCTACCGGCAGGTGTCCTGATTGGGGGTTGGGGGGCGACATGCATTGCTTAGGGCACTTATTGTAGTGTAGCTCAGAACACATGCTTCACAGCCACCCAAGCAGGTGCTATAAGAATTAAGTTTTCTTGAGGCCCATCAAGACATGCAGACTGCGGGATGAGGACAGGAATCTGTATTTTTAACAAACTCCCAAGTGACTTTACTGCAGATTATGTCTGAGAAACACGAATAGCTCACTCATCACAACAACCTACTCACATGGGTAGCCAAGGAGAAAAAAATGTGGGAATTTTCCAGATTATTTAAAAATATGTAATCAAAATTTCTACAGTAAAAGAAGCTCAATTATTTCATTGCTACTGCATAAAGAGACTCTTCTTCCTAGTTCTGGGATGACAGCACCCATGAGAACTCTTGAAAAACAATGTTATCAATGTCAAAAATAAAACAAAACAAAACCTCAAATGATCTTTAAAAGAAGAAAAAAGGCTTCCTCTTATAGTAAAATTTAGTACAGTTAGAGTAGGGAATCAATCCCAATTTTTTTCTCAGAGTTAACTGCCAGCATTAAAAAGCTCAGTGCTACTTTCAGTCTATGACATTAAATTCAAAGATACTTTCCTTGGTTCTGCAGAATGTTGGTCTTAAATTAACAATGGCTAAAATATCATTTTATGATAACCTTAAGAACATCACTTAGATTTTAATGCATATTATTTTAATGCATTTAATTTTGTTAATATGAGACCATTTTCTTAATCATTTTGGTAGTTACTGAATAAATTGACTTTGAATATTTAAACTTGTAAGAAACTACTCATGATTGTGTTAATTATTGCTCCCTGGGAGGCAATATAGCCAATTATAAACAACAAAGTCTCTCAAATAAGAAGGTCCTGAATATGAATCTAGAAGCAGCAATCACTACCTGTGTAACCCTGGCAAGTTATTTAACTTCTCTAAGCCTCTATTCCTTATTGGGAGGATTAAATAAGATAATATATGTAAAGCACTGAGCACCTGGTACCTGTTAGTTCTCAGTAAACGTTAGCCCATATAAACATATATAAAGGAATCTCTCTGAAAAGACACAAGAAATTATCAATGATGGTTGCTACCAAGAAAAGAACTTGAGGTCAGGGTGGAAAGACTATATACCTTCTTGTACTCTGTACATTTATCCAGTGCTTATAACTTAAAAAAACATTTAAAATTTCTCATGCTGTGGAATTTCTTAGTGTTTAGCAAAATGCACTGCAAAAGCTAAATTGCCACTGCTAAACTAGCAAAGGAATAAACTCATAGCTAATAATTTCCACAAAGAAATACACAACCTATCTGATTTCAGTAATCTGTTAGGTGTTCTTACTTCTTTTACAATATTCACATGGTCTTTACTACAACACCTTAAACCAGTGATCTCTCAACCTGGGATGATTTTGTCCCTCAGGGGACATCTGGCAACAGACATTTCTGGCTGTCACAACTGAAGGGATGTACTACTGGCATCTGGTGGACAGAGGCCAAGAATGCTGCTAAACATTCTATTATGCAGAATACAGGACCACACAACAATAATCCACCCAAAAAGTCAGTAGAGCTGAGGTGAGAAACTCTGCAACCCAAGGAATCATTCTGCTCAACTCTGAAAGTAACCAGTTTCTTCGTTTCAGTTACCTACAAAACAAAACAAACAATAAATTCTCCCCTCAAGTAATGAAGTAAAATCCTTAATAGTAGGCTAAGGGCTCAATAAATGTAACCATTGTTTGCCACTGCTGTAAATTTCTGAAATTCTAGCAGCTAGAACCACTTACATGTTTGTGTCTACTAAACTTCAATACATTTCAAGATTTTTAAGTACTTATTTTTAAGCCCTCCAAAGGTGAACTCTAAAAGATTTCAAGAGATTACAGATCACCATTCCTTCCTGTTTTAAAATGATATTTGAAGGACCACAAAGCTCAATGCACAACTAAAATACAACAGGGCATTTACTTTAGTAAGTAGTTATCAAGTCTTTCCAGTAAACTTGATATTTTTACATCTGACTTAATGCACTGCTTTGGCCTCTATTTCGTAGAAGCAGCTAAGTACATTATAATGAGGCTTGAAAAATTACAAACTAAATCATCCCCTTCTCCAATCTTAAAGCACAGTTTAATATGCCTTATCAAAATGTAAACTGTTAGGAAAGATCTTTGGGAAATGTCTTATCAATGTATGGGATTAATCTTGTCCAAAAACGGTGAAAAACTGAACTAAGTGGCTATCAAAATCTACAGCTAGTTCATAAATGGGTAGGAAACAGATTTGAAATGTTGCTACTACTGTTATTAATCATACTTTCTTAGTAACTGTGTAAACTTTTACACATTTTAAATGTCTATCTTTCTCGTTATGTAAGAGCACTATTTTAATAATTTAGTATTTTTACATTAACAGTTCCCTAACTTATTCTGATTAAAGAATTCTTAGGGAAACATCTTAATTCCTTCATCCAAAACAAATTTTAAAAGTACACAAAAAAGGTGTTTGAAAATACAAGATGCAATTAGGTTATTATTATTTTACTATTTTTCCAATACATTTTTCGTAATGGACATAGGTATCGCTAGAACGCCACTCACCTCAGTCACTCCCCCGAGCATCTAGAACTTTAATACTTGTCCAAACCTGCTTGCTCATGGTCTAATAATAAACCTAATTATACAATCTGTAACAGCCACTGACAACCTTTTCCTAAGAAGCAGTAAAGGTGCTTTAACTTACACCCCAAATTCTCAATAATTCTAATTCAAAACCAGATTTCTTCATGCCGGCCTTTGGCTTCTGCCGAGGGCTAAGGGCTGCTGACTGTACAGTGGGGAGGTGAAAATCCGCCTGAACTGAAAAGGACACACGCTGGGCGCTGGACAGCAGGGGTAACTGCTGGTTCATTTCTCTTTAAATCTGGCAGCACGTGGGGTGGCATTGTGAAGCCACCAACCCGCCTCCCCCCTTACACTCGCACACGTACGTCTCCAGCGCGCATGCTCCTCTCGCACAGTCCTAGCAGAGTAGGAGCCAACCCCCTAAAAAGTCAACCTGGAAGCCGCAAACGGCCGGAGGCCGGGACAATGGGGGAGGGGGGCCACAGGCAACTCTGGGGAGGCAGACCCGGCCTCCGCCCCAAGCCAGAGCCCGTAGGCCGCAGTCCCGCGGTTCTGCAGGCCTGCGCAGGAGCCGGAACCGCTCCAAGCACAAAGCCCCGAGCCGGCCAGCGAGCGGCTCTCCGCTCGGCCCGCTCCTACCCTCCCCCAGCCGGGCGGCGCAGCCGGAGCCCGTGCCAGGCAGAGGCAGGCGAAGCGACGTCCCACACCCCGCCAGGTCCTCAGACCCCCGCGCGCCAGTGACGAGGCCACGGAGGCGCTTTGTTGTCCGCCACAACTCCTTGGACCCGGCGCTACCCCAACAGAAGTTTTGCGCGCCTCACCTATCCGGCCAGGGGCCAGTTTCTTCGCCTACTCTCGCCACCCGCTGCCGCCCGCGGCTCAAACATCCGAGCCGGGGAAACTCACAGCTAGGCGGGCCCAGACTCTCCTCTCTACCCCCAAGGGGTCCGACGGCCTCAGCAACACCTGAGACCGGGACCCGCCCCTCCTGGGAGAGTCGGTCCAGGCTAGGGATCCACAGCCCCTCCCCCGCAACGTCCCACCCAGCCGTGGGGGAGGGGGTAGTCTCCCCTCCTTTCTACCGGGCGCCAGGCCCCGTCCCAGCGCTGAGGTTGGGGCGCGTCCCCGCCCCCAATACCCTCCGAAAGCCGGGGAAGTGCTGGGCCCGGCCAGGACCGGCGCCTCGGGTTCCCCACCCTCGCGAGCCCTTACCCGGCCTCGCCGACAGCTGCCGCTCCCCTTCACCCGTCCGACCGCCGGTCGGGGAAGAGAGGAGAAGGTAAGCCGCAGCGGCGCGCCACGATCGCGGCCCGGGGCCCCGCCGCCCGCCCGCTCGCTCGCTCACCTGCCAGCTGTCTTCGCAGTAGCAGTGCCGACTGCAGCTCCGTCATTCTCCCTGCCAAGGGCCCGGGCTGGCGCCGGGGCTTTCGAAGGGCCGGGGACAGGCTCTGCAGACTGCTGGGGATGGGTGTGCTAAGGAAACTGGGCCCCCACGACGGGAGCGCCGAGGCCGAAGGAGGCCGGACTGGGGCAGCGGTAGCAGCGCCTCGCTGCTGGTGTGAGTCCGCTCGGTTCAGCTCTTCTCACAGCGCCTCAAGCCCGGAAGGGGAGGGTACCCGGGCCGCCGCGGCGCGCACTGGGACTTCGCTCCCCTGCTTCCCTCCTTCAGCCCGCCCGTCGGCCCCACCGGTGCCTTCCCCCGCTACAGCCTCACTGCGCGAAGGGCCGCTCCACGCAGGCGCGCTGGAGCTGCCTACTTCGGAATCGGCCAGCCCGCAAGCCCTACCCCTTTGCCTCGGCGCCCCGCCTCTGGCGGCCGGATCCCGCCCCCTAAGTGCTTTTGCCCCCCTCCCCCGCGCCCGCCCGCCCGCCGAGTGCCGCCATCTTGAGAAGGTCGACACCATGCTGACTGCCAGGGCCTCGGGCGGTAGACGCCCCGCGGACGCCATGACAAAGAGGTCGCGGAGGGTCAAGACACCGCCCCGGGTTGAAGCAGGTGGTATGGGAGCGCAGGGGCCCGAAGAAAGGGTTGATTCGTTCAACTATCTAACTCCACATGTGGTGTGCAAATTAGTCATCTTTAAAGCCGAATCTTGTACTGGTGCGCTTCATTTTTAGCAGACTTCCCCCGCCAAATATAGTTAACACACAATGATAATTCACTTTACGGAAAGAATGCACAAAAAGATTCGTGAAATCAGCAAAAGGTCTGCATCTCATGGAACGAAATATTTATACATCATTAATAATCTCTGTGAGTAAAGGGAGTTGAGATTAGCAAAATCTGATATACACGATTCAAAATGTCATTCAGAAAGGCATCTACTATGTAAAATCGAAGTGTGGGGTCTAGGGTTTGGAAAAAGCAATTTACTCTTTTCAACCTGCTCATTCCCTCGACCTTCTGCTTTTCATATAACAACCTCAATAAAGAGATGGAACAGAAGGAAGAGTAATAGCTCATGGTACTGAAATACGTCATGATTTGTTTCTTCAACAAATATTTATAAAACTTGTATTAATTACGTACTACAGAAATACAGCTCTGTTCCTACCTTCAAAGGGCTTAACGTCGCTGTAAGTTCCACGTAAGGTAAACAGTCAAAGAAGGAGCAGATTCCAATACCATTCTTACGATAAAAATTCCTAGGGGAGGGGGGACTGTCCCCTCTCTCTAGAACAAGGATTTTAAAAAATAAACTTGCTGAATGAATTATTACTCCTTTGGGAGTAATCCCCCAGGGAATAATCCAGGTTTTGTGAGGCCTAAAGTTCACCAGATCTGAAGGACTCATTTATTTTTATTTTTATTTATTTATTTTTAGAGAGAAGAAAAAGGAAGGAGAAAGAGAGGGACAGAAACATCCATTAGTTGCCTCTCACACTCAACTCAACCAGGGACTGAACCCATAACTTAGGCATGTGCCCTGGCCAGAAATGAAATCCAGCGACATTTCCCTTTGCGGAGCAACACTCCAACCAACCAAGCCACACCAGACTGTGCTGTGAAGGACTCATTTTAGGGGGGAAAATTTTTTAATAAGGTTCAAAAATTATTTGGAATAAGAAAATAAATCACAAATAACTGTAGGCTTGGGGAATCCATGCCTTTCCGAAATCTCTTTAGGCAGGTTATCCAAAATGCTGTTCCATGCAAAATGGCTTACTCTCCCTACTAGAACAAATTCCAGCCTTCACAGGGCTCTCAAACTTCCTTAGCTTTAACGTAAAAATCCATTTCCAACAACACTCCTTCCTGGCCAAAAATCGTTCTTTTTCGTTTTTTAACTTTTTTTCAAAGTAGTAAATACATAGTTCATTATGTGTCTTAAGGCTTATACCAAAACACAAATATGTTGCGAGACATGCTTCCCTGTTCCTAGATCCTGCTTGCCAGGGGCAATCCCTTTTGACTCCTAGCAGTTTCTTCTGGTAGGTACCTTCATTATTCCAACTGATGGACATATAATGTTTTTTTTTCCTTGATTTATCCATTTTAGACCTTACCTATTTATTCTTGCTGTAACTGATAAGAATTTAACTCTCTTATGCTACCTTTCATCCTTTATTCTCCTACATTAAATCATATTATTATATCAGTAAATAGTGTTTACAGTATTGAGACTTTGAAACTATTGAGTAGGAGATCCAAATGCTGTAATGGATTATAACTATATTTATTTCTTACATAGATTTCGGAGGGGGGGCTAGAGTTTCTAATTACTATACTTGTTTTTCTTACAGTATCTTGATTATAATTAATATTCTTACAGTGTCGCAGGTTCGATTCCCAGTCAGGGTACATGCCTGGGTTGCAGGCCACAGCCCCCAGCAACTGCACGTTGATGTTTCTCTCTTTCTCTCTCTCTCTCTCTCTCTCTCTCTCTCTCTCTCTCTCTCTCTCTCTCTCTCTCTCTCTTTCTCCCTCCCCTTCCCTTCCGTCTCTAAAAATAAATAAATAAAATCTTTAAAAAAATATTCTTCCTTTCCCTATCCCATCTGATTGCTATTGTATTCTGTCAAGTTCTGTTTCTTGGAAATCTTCCTCCTGGAAGCCTCTCTGTTATGTTTCTAATCTGAGCTGGTTGCTTTGGGCCATGCCTGCTATGTAGAAGTCTACCTAGGATTTCCCCTGGCTGCTCGCCTGGGCTGTCTACTACATCCAGGATCTCAAGTATAATTCTCTTTTATTTACTCCCTTCTTTTTCCTGGATCATATTATCAGATAACTGATGAGTATATATGAGGCAGATTTTCTAAGTGCTTATATATCCAAAAATATCAGCATTTTAAACATCTATAATTTACTGCCTCATGATTTAGTTTAGCTGAGTATACAATTCTGTGGTTAAAACCAAGTAATTTTTTAAAAAAATATGAAACTGTTGGTCCATTGTCTTCTAGCATCCAGTGTTGCTGTTAATTCTTATTCTATTGTAGGTGACCTGTTTTTCCTCTTATTTTCATTGGCTAGCCTTAGGATTGTATTGCCTGGCCTGGTATTTTTAAAAATATTTTATTCATGTATTTTTAGAGAGAGGGAAAGGAAGGAAGAAAGAGAGGGAGAGAAACATCAGGGAGAAAGAGAGGGAGAGAATGAATTGCTTGCCTCTCATATGCACCCTGACCAGGGACCCAGGCATGTGCCATTACTGGGAATCAAACCAATGACCTTGCACTTTGCAGGATGATGCCCAACCAACAGAGCCACACCAGTCAGGGCCTCTGTCTGGTATTTTAAGGTATCATGATAACATGCTTTGATAGTCTGTAGGGTGTTTTTTTTAACTCACTGTGCTCACTGTTAATTTTGTGGTGGTACAATGGTTGTTTTTATTTACATACATATAGAAATAAGCTTAGATAGTCTGCATTTTCCTAGTATATTAACAACATTTTATAAAGGATTTTATTTATTTATATTTAGAGAGAGGGGAAGGGAGGGAGAAAGAGAGGGAAAGAAACAACAATATATGAGGGAAACACCAACTGGTTGTCTCTCAAATGCCCCCAACTGGGGACCTGACCTGCAACCCAGGCATGTGCCCTGACTGGGAATCAAACTGGTGACCTCTTGCTTCATAGGCTGGCACTCAATCCACTGAGCCACACCAGCCAGGGCATATTAACAACATTTTAAACACAATTTATTTTTGTATGTTAATCAACAACCTCACTGAACTCATTTTCTATAGATTATTTTTATTTTCTACATAAATAATATATGTCCAAATTTTTATTCTCTCTCTCTCTCTTTCTCTTTTGAAAACACTATTTCTCTTTTTTGCCACACTATGCCAGCTAGGATGTCCAGCAGAAGGCTGATAACAGAAGGCTCATAGTAGATATATGTACGCTTGCAGTTAGCCAGTCAAGTAAAGGAGAGAAAGATGGATAAGTTTGTTGAAGGTGTATGAAGAGAGTGATGTAGTAATGGACTCTTCTCTAAGATGAATAGAGAAGAAAGTAAAAACAGGAAGGAGCTGATGAATAGTGAAAAAGTGATACAAATAATGAGGTCTTGAGATTAAAGAACTGTGTCATGTAGACACTAAAGCAAGTGACCTGGAAGGATAGAAAATGGTGGTGTGGGTGGGTGGCTTGAAATCCAGAATTCAGTTGTGATATGGTCATGGGTGGTGAGGTGGTCTCATGTGAACACGGGGAGAGGCTGGCTGGTGTGGAAGGAAAAGGAAGCAATCAGGGAGGTGACAGAGACGAGTACTACTAGATAGGTCATCCATGTGGGCAATTAAATCCCCCAGGATGAGGGCAAGAGTAAGATAAAAGGAAAGACTGTGAACCAGGAGCCAAAGTCATTGGTGAATGAGTCCACAGATAATAGCAATAAAGGGAGTAATAAGTGTTACTACTAGATGGTATTAACCTCAAAAGAGCAAGGGTTAGGGGAAGGAAGAGGAGGAGAAAAGGTTGGAAAGCAGCAATGGGGAACAAGAAGATGCTAAGCCTGTCAGCTCTGGGATCCATAGGACGTGAGAGAAGACAGCCTTCCTTTGACAGGACTGAGGAAACTGAGTCCTGTGAGGACAGCCAGATTCAGGTAAGTACAGAAGGTAGAGAAGTCTCTCATAAGCCCCTTAAACTACTGTGACTGGAACCCATTGTCTCCAGACCTGCTCTGTTACAACCAATGATACCCAGTTACTTAAGTCAGAAATGGAAGAGTCAGCCTTAGTGCTTCTCTTTTCTCACCCCTACATCAGATTGATCACCAAGATTTAAATGTTTCCTGGTTTCCATTCCCATGGTCACTCCTTAATGCAAACCTGAATGTTTGCCACCCTTTCTGTAAGGGTCTCCTGGCCCACTGGTCTTGACCCTCCCTCCCCTCATCTATTTTCTGAGGCAGAGCAAAACTTTCAAAATGAAAATCTGCTATTGCCCCACTCCTACTTTAAAACTCTTGTATTGCCCTGACCAGGTAGTTCGGTTGGTTGGAGAGTCATCTAGATACACCAAGTTTGCAGGTTCAACCCCATCGGGGAACATACAAGCAACTAGTGAATGCTTAAATAAATGGAACAACAAATCTCTCTCTCTCCCTCCCTCCCTCTCCCTCTCTCTCTCCCTCCCTCTCTCTCTCTCTCTCTCTCTCTCTCTCTCTCTCTCCCTCCCTCCCTCTCCCTCTCTTTCTCCCCCCCTCTCTCTCTCTCTCTCTCTCCCCCCCCTCCCTCCCTCTCTCTCTCTCTCTCTCTCTCTCTCTCCCTCTCCCTCTCTCCAGTAAATAAAATATTTAAA